CTGTGTGTCACATTCAGCATTTTACCGATGTGCCTCCAGGGTGGCTGGGCTCCTCCTTGGACCCTTCCCAGTGGCAGCTCCTGTGTGATTTCCTCTTCCTTTTCCCTCCTCGTCAAAGGCAGACAATACTTCAAGGACTGGGCGGGAGGCAGCGCTGCTGAGGAGTTCTGTAGGACCTCACTCGGCTAAGGAGCTTGCCACTCGGAAAGAACCTTTGCATTCGGGCCAACCAGAGTAGAGTAAGGCTAACCCCGATGAATCTGGAGACAGAGTGGTGGGGTGGCAGTCCCTGAATTGCTGCCTTACTAATCTGTGATCACGGGCCTCCGATTCCTCACCGGGACAGTAGACATAAAAGTAATGCCTATCTCAGGGGTCACTGTGAGCAGTCAAGGTGACAGAGGAGAGGTACAGCGACAAGTGCCTGACTTAATGACTTAACAGTAGTCAGGGAAGAGAGCGGAAGACAGAAGGTCTTGTCTGTTACATAATTTTGTTGCAAGCAAGGTACAGAGAAAGAGATAGGGCACTTAGAGAGTGCCTTCTCACCCTTGGCCACGGGAAGTTAGACTTAGTAAGAGACCAGATCCCTCCCTTATCAAACTCTTGGCCGTAAGTCATTTAGCCCAGAACACCCAGGGTGATCTGAGGGTGGTGTTTAACAGCCTCGTTCCTGCCCACCTAGAGGAGAGATACAGTACGGGCACTGCGCATTGGACAGGAACAGCCAGGGCACACTGACCTTGCTGTCCTTCACGTTTCAAACCACTGGTTTTGCTGGTCTTAGGTCTCCTTCATACTTGGCAGTAAAGCCTTACTCCTCTCCTAGCCATCTGCTCAGAAACGGGCTGTGTGAGGGCTAGGTCTGAATCACCTGCCTCATCTTGACTCTGATGTGTTGTCTCCCCTCTGCCTTCCACCTGCCTTCTCTCTTGCAGACCTGCGTGGTATGACCTTCCTCCTCCACCCTACTCGTCCGACACCGAGTCTCTGAACCAGGCTGACCTGCCTCCTTATCGCTCCCGCTCAGGAAGTGCCTACAGTGTCAGTGCGGGCTCCCAGGCGGCCAGCAGCCTCCTGAGTGTGGAAGACAGCAGCCACAGCCCAGAGCAGCCTGGCCCTCCAGAGGGCCCTGCTGAGCCCAGAGACTCCGTGCCCAGGGAGGGCACTGAAGAAGTAGAAAACTAAAGTGATTCCAAAGTCCATGTGGGTAGATCTGCTCCACCTTGTTGAATTCTAACAACAGCCTGTGCTCATGAGACGCTCTTTGAGCTCCTTTTGAGGATGTCTCAAGTTGAAGTTTGGGGTGCTGATTGCTCTCCATCACCATCTCTTCCTTCAGATTTCAGGGATGTTCCTTGGAATGACCTGGCACTCCTCTGCCCTCTTAGTTGACATGCTGTGTTGTCATCATGTATTCTGTGAGGTCGCTGTTCTTCAGGGCCTACGATTATAGCCTCCTGCTTCAGATGACTGTGCTACCGTTGGTCCATCCAGTAGGATTGTGACTGGGCAGGCAGCAGGGTGAAGCCATATGGAAGTGTCTTTGTCAAGGATCTGGGGCCACGTTGCTCATTCAGGTGAGAAGACACCAGACCAGGTCTCTTCTGGGCTGCCACCTTATAGCTACATTTGGAGACTGGGGTTGGAGGATGCTGCCAGAAGGTCATCATCACAGGGCACTCCAGAAGTGTCCAGGGGAACATCAAATCCCACCTTGTACTGTCCTGTTCATCGTACTTACTGCAGCAAAGGCCAAAGAATAATTCTGACATGAACAACAGCTTTTGGCTCTCAGCACTCTCATTTGGTTTTGTGACAGATTCAGAAACAATCTACCTGGCCTTATAAATTTGCCTAAGAATCCTAATTTGAGAGTCTTCTCTAGAAGTGCAGATCCTCAGCATCATCCTTGAAAAAGTAGGAAAACCCTGCCACTGTTGAAAACCCTCAATTCCTAATGTATAGGTTACCAGAGCCTGGGCCTGCCTTGACCTGATGGTCCTTTTCCTGGCTTCTGGATTGTCCCCTTCCAAGATGACTTGGCATAGCTAAGGACGAGGACCCAAGTTAAGTTGGCCCAAACTGTGATCGAGCCCTTTGCCCCATAAAACAGGCCCAGTCTGTTGTGCCCATACCCGCAGCTTCAGGCTCCTAAGTTCCCCCAACACCTGGCAGTCTGTTTCCCATGTGCATTTGGACTTAAGGATGCTCCTAGAAGTCCTAACTTAGATGAGAACCACATTCAGTACCACCTGTGAGAACTCTCAGGTCACTGTACTGCACACACAGACCCAGGAACAGTGCACCAAGTCAGGGTTAGGGTTAGAGTGAGGGCCAGGTCCAGCCAAACATCCCGGCAGTTTCTCCTATGAGAGAAGTGGGCAATAGATAACTTGGAGTCAAGATTTCCCATTGGATTTTTTAAAGTCTCTTAGAAATGCATTTGAAACAGTGTGTTTGTTTTTTTCCCTTCTAGTTAAGGGACTATTTATATGTGTATAGGAAAGTTATCTGTTTGGTTTTGTTTTTGTTTCTCTTTTGGCGAGGTCCAAAGAAAGATGCAAAAAACAATGCTGCCTTTCCCCGGCCCCAGCCCATAATGTCACCTCAGACTCACCTACATGCCCAGCATTTACATTGGGGCATCTTGGAGTCACTATTTATCGAGTTCTTGAAAAATGCAGAGGGACAAGTCTCCCAACCATTGTCTGTATGTTTAAACTACCTTTCCTCTCTCTTGATGCCTAGCCAGCCCTAGTGCATGACACCACCACCCACCCCCACCAACCAGGCAATAATGGGTAAACCATACTAACCAGGGACAAAACTGGAACCAGGTGATGCCACCTCAGGCAGCTGCCACCCATTCAAAGCATTTTTCCACAGCTGACGAAACTTTCAATAACCTGTTCGATGCTAATTAAAATGGAGCCTGCAGGAAGCAGGGACGACGTGGCCTTCAATGATGCTGTTCTGTTGACTTTCCTTTTTAAATAAATCCAAACTAGACAGCTGGAAAGCTAGCCACTTGGGGTTTTGTTTGTTTGTTTGTTTTTGTTTTGCTTAAATAAGCCTAGCTGCTTGTATCTTTCATTTTTAAAATAGAAATTGAAGGGGTGTGTGTGTGTGTGTGTGTGTGTGTGTGTGTGTGTGTGTGTGTGTAACCCAGTGAAGAAAGAACTGGGTGACAGACGGAGCTTTCCTGGCTGTGCGTCTCATCCGGGTGAGTCAGTGGCTCTCTCCTCCTTTGATGGGTCCCTGCTTCTTTTTGGTGCTCTGAAAGTTGTCTGGAGGAAAGGATTCTAATTTTAATTAACTGAGCAGTGAGCTAATCTCATGAGCTTTCTGCTTCAAGGCATTTTAGGAAAAACAAATGGTTTTAGTAGATAAGGGGAGCCTATTAATGTTGTTTGTTTTTTGTTTTGTTTTTTTCCAAACAAACACAGTAACATTTTTACTGTATATTTGATTTTTAAAAATAATAATAATAATAATAGTAATAATAAATAAGATAGCAAAGCTCTGGGCCTTGAGTTTTTTTCCCCTTTCTTCTCAAGATACCAAGTAAGTGGCTAGCAAAATTTTTTTAAATTCATTCCAGCCAGGATTTTTTAAATACACCAGCCAGAAAAATGGTCTCCGCTGTGTCTTCTCCGTGTGACCCGCGCTTCGTTTTGACACTACACTCGACTCACTGTGATTGGAAACTCACTGCCTGACTTAACTGCCTCTTCCTTGCAATTGACAATGTTTTTGAAATTCAACTAAGTTGTTAATAAATAGTGTGTGATATTCAAAATTAATGTAAACTGGAAGGTTTTATGTGGTTGCTTTTTTTGGTTTGTTTGTTTTTTTAATTTTTATACTCAAATAAACTTGCGGTTTCATTCTTTCTGCTGTGTGAACGTCTCTTGACCCACTTTTCTGCGCCCCCCCCCAACAACATGAAAAGAGGGTGATCATCTCTGGCTTAGTTTCCCCAACAAATACCATAATAAAATGAGGGAAAGGAAGAATATATTGGTGAACCTTCCAAATGTGGTGGGTATTTGGGGTTCTGCTGGTGTGATTGGACTACTGGGGAGAAATTGTGCACCCCAGTTAGGGTCATGGCCCTGGGAAGTGAGTGAGTCCTGTCTTACGGCGTTTGTAGTTCCAGGACAAGGCAAGTGGCTGCTGCGGTAACTGGTGCAGATTCTTGCCACGGATTCAAAGAATGAACCTGACACAGGCATGCTTGTGAACATGGATTGTTCCAAAGCAGCAAGGGAGCATCTCCACGTCCCTGCAGGTCTACTTTAGAGCACGTGTTGACTGATGTGTACAATGTGTAGGCGTCTAGATGCCCAGTGGGACCCCGGCACCCACAGCCAACAAAGTGAGTTCGTCCATGGTCAGAACTGAAATCCACATGAAAATGTAAATGCAAATCTTCAGACCAAGATTTGGGTCATGTATTATTCCCCTGCTCCTAGGGGATGGAGCTGTCAGGCAAGGGTATCCCAAGAGCCCTGTGTGGTATCCTACCCCGAATGCTCTAAAGCACAATGCCCCAAATGCTTGTTCATGTATTCATTCTTCGTTTCTCATGCTGCCCTGTGAATCCAATTTTTGTTGATCCCAAGATAAGGAAATAATTATAATGATCTAATCTAGAGCAGACATTGGCAACCTTTCTGTAAAGGGTCAGACAGTATGTTTGGCTTTACAGCTACAAAGGATTCATAGATAATACACTAATGATTGGGTACAGCTGTGCTTCAGTAAAGTTATATGGAAATAGGAGCTGGGTAGTTTTTACCTGTGGACTAGTTTTGACATTGCAGACCACAATGAGTTTGTAAATCTTAAGCTTAGGCACTGTAGGGCATAAACAGTGGCATAGTGGTTTGGGGTAGCAAAACCCATGAAAAACTCATGAGGCAGAATGTCCAAGGCCCTAATTTAATTAAAATTGGCCTGACCAGTTCATTTTCCAATGAATAAAAAAATACAGGGTTAATAGAGGCTTTCCTAGTGAGATCCCAAAACGCTTGGGTAGAACAGAGAGAGCCCAGTTTAAAAAGAAAGAAAGAAAGAAAAAGAAAAATCGGGTACCCCTGAGAACCCCTCAAGGTCATAAACTTAGGCATTGTCTCCGTTCAAGAAAGAGCATGTTGGTGTGTGACCTGGAAAAGACTGTTCACCTCCATTTAGCTTACAACCCACAGGCAGTGTAAGTCTGTCTAGTCAAAGACTCAGCTGGATGAAAAGCATTAGATTGGTGCAAAGGAGGTGTACCTGGTATTCATATCCATAAGAAAAAAAGAGCTATGCACCCACTGAAATTCAGGAGAATGGTTGGTGACAAAATCTACTGACTCCTATAACATCCTGTAATCCAGCACGTTCCTAAGACATAAAGGAAAACCCCCAGTTACAAGTAATTAACTCATTGAAAAGTGAGTATTGTCTATTACAAACAAGTCTTCAGACCTGGATGGATGCAGTTGATGATGTCATTAATAGTGTATTTCTTGGGAGCTCCCAAAGCAATACGGTCTATGGTCCACCAGAACTGGCTGGTATGACCCTATTGCTGAAGACACCATACGTGTTGGATACAAGACACAGAGAAATCAACCTAGAACTGAGGTGAAAGTTCCCTCCTGCTTGCTAGTGTTCATGGTACTAAGAGGTGAGGAGAAAAGATATCAACAGTTATCCCCAGCTACAGACTCTACTATAATAAAACCTGCCAACAAAGACTGGCTAAGGGCTAACCAACCACTTCCCAATTAGTCTGAGACCTAGTACAAGGGGGAACATGTGCCTCATACTGTAAACCTTATCTAAAGTTTGGCTGTTAATCCTAGTTAGGGTTTCTGTTGCTGGGAAGAGACACCATGACCACGGCAACTCTTATAAAGGAAATCATTTAATTGGGGTGGCTCACTTCCCGTTCAGAGGTTTAGTCTATTATCATCATGGTGGGGCATGGCAGTGTGCAGGCAGATGTGGTGCTGGAGAAGTAGCTGAGAGTTCTGTATCTTGCAAGCAACAGGAAGTAGTCTGAGACACTAGGTGGTATCTTGAGCATATATGAGACCTCAAAGCCCGTCTCCACAGTGACACACTTTCTCCAACAAGGCCACACCTCCTAATAGTGCCACTCCTTTTGGGGGCCATTTTCTTTCAAACCACTGCAGCTGTGAAGGTCAAGGCGCCTGGAGATGTACTACTGATGTTTTGCTAAGTGGGCATTGTAGCCAAACTACCTCCTGAACACAAGTTTATACTGAGAGACTAATGCTGCTCTCAGCCTGGGTCAGAGAAACATCTTTTTGTAAAGGGTGAATAGAACAGAGACTCACAATTGTTCTCTTGAGTACTGAAAATAAATGACTAGTGGGTGCTGAGCCCTAAATAGCACATTTATTTCACCCCCTTTGGGAACATCTTGCGAGAAGAGGTGGGAAGATTTTAAGAGCTGGAGGATTGGAAGGAAAGCTATGAAATACTGTTTTCTATGTATGTCGTGGCTTTTGTGATCATGAACACACAGAAAGTGTGGGTATCTGCACAAAAAGACATAAGGCAATTAGTAAGGAAGAAGGGAGTCTATGGGAATGAGAAAGGGTAAGAGATATTGAGAGGTGAATATTCAGGCCGTGATGGCGCACACCTTTGATCACGGCACTTGGAAGGCAGAGGTAGGCAGATCTCTGTGAGTTCAAAGCCAGCCTGGTCTACATAGTGAGTTCCGGGACAGAACGTGAAAAACCAAGAGAGAAGGAGGGCAATGAATATGATTGTAAAATCAGAGTACATGTTGCTTGTGTATAAAATTATCAAAAAAGAGAATTTGTGGGCTGGGGAGATCGCAGAGTGGTTAGAAGCACTGGCTACTCTTCCAGAGTTTCCGGGTCCAATTCCCAGCACCCACATGGCAGTTCACAACTGTCTGTTCAAGGGGATCTGACACCCTCATACATGCAGGCAAAAACACTAATGCACATGAAATAAAAATAAATAATTTTTTAAAAGAGAATTTGCTTCTGGGCCTGGGGAGATGACTAAGTAAACAAAAACACTTGTCGTGCAAGCCTGAGGATCTGAGTTCAAATCCCCAGAACCTACACAAAAACTTGGTACATAGTTTAAACTCCTGTGAGCCCAGCACTCCTGCAGGGAGGTGGGAGGTAGAGACAGGCTGGCTAACCTAACGTACTTGTGGAAAAAAAAAAGCAAGAAAAAGGCCTGTTCCAAAGAAGACAAAAGGCAAGGACTAAAACCCAAGGTTGTCTTCCGACTTCCACGTGTGTACCATGGCATATGCACACCTACATTCACACTCATACAAATAGATATAGATATAGATATAGATATAGATATAGATATAGATATAGATATAGATATTGAATTATCCTCTCCGAATTTCTCAGCCCCGTTTTGCTCAATATTGGTTTCATGAGAAAGAAGAGACATTCTAGAATTTATAGACACTCCTTTAAACTAACTCATGATTAGACATCCTTGATCATGTAGGTATTACTGTAGGACTTAATCCCTTGACTGACAGCACCACCAAAACTATACGGAGTAGGAAAGGGGCAATTCCTATGTGAAAGGATCTAGTAACAGTCAAAACCTTAGTGTATCAATTGGAAAGCTTCACTGAAGAAAGGCTCACAACTAGCCCAGATTTTAATACACATAAGAAAAGAACGTAGGCTTTAGGCAATAGAGCTACAGGCATTAAATGCTTTGCAAAGTGCACAGGCAACGTCAGCAAACATTGCAGAAAAGTCAACAAGCCTTTCTCCAAACCCAGAGGCAAGACAAATTAAGATGATGCATTTGAAGCTGGTATCATGTGCTTTCATTAGATAGTGGGGTTGGCCACACAGACATAAATATCTATAAGAGGAAATCTACCCTATAAATAGAAAGAAGAAACTCCCAAACTCCAGTCCTGTCCTTAAGCTCTGAAAGTGCTGAAATGGGATAATTATTCCACCACACGTTTCCCACTGCCCCGACCTGCAGTGTTTTAAAACTGATGGATCAGAAATATATTCCCATTTTCTTAAGACCTCAAGACTCACATATGCATGGTGTTAATTAATTAGGCTCCCTGTGGTTAATCATTTTATCTATGCCAGAGAGCAAGGGTGCATCAACACCTAGGATGCCACCCCTCAGGAATTGGGACATTTGTTGCCACCAAAGCTAAGGGTGTCACTTAAAGACACAACCGTGGAGGACAAAGGCGTGGTGTCAGAGGAAGCATGTTTCATTAAATATGATCAGTGTCTCCATTGGGCTGGGTTTGTGTTTTGAGCCAGGATGATTCACTTTGATGTTTCAGTACCACTCCATATTTGACATTTTATGCTCCTCACATTCACTCTGTTGAGCCATGCCAATAAACTAGCAGAGGGAAACACACAAGAAGGACCATGACAGGCAGTGTGTATAGAGGGACCAAGAAGCTGCACATGGACCTCTCACATTCCATTGCCTAGCACTCTCTCTAGCACCATAGCTACGCCTACCTGCCATGCAGATCAGCTGTGTAACCAAGAACCGGAAGAGGATTGGGATGTGAGTCACCAAACACATTTGGATTCTTCTTTTCATATGGAGAATACATTCACCCTTTGTCCATGAGAAGACCCTGCCATTCAGTGTGATGAAATTCAGAAGTTATGATCAAGTGAGAATTCTATGTGAGGCCAGATGTGGTTGCTCTGGAAAGACTTTCTGATCCCACCCCACCCCCACACACAGTTCTAGTCATCTCATCTGGATTGCCTCCCTTAGGCTGTTTTTAAAATTGTTGAGTGACATTCATTTCACTCAGGACAGAACAGGGTAGAAATCAAAATGGTGTTCCACAGGACCTGAAGG